TAGTATGAGGATTGTTGTAAAGACCCTGACACTAGTCAGTGACTCGATGCAATTTGCTGGGTTCCTTATATAGGAAACATTTTTCTGATTGGCTTAATGAACTGACCTGTATTGGAATGTTTATTATGTGAAGTGCCTTGAGACAACTCTTGTCGTGATTTGGCGCTGTATAAATAAAGTTGAACTGAATTGAAAAATGTGCTCTTTGATTAAAGCTGCTTTGCCTAAATGTAAAATGTTACCTTTCACAATAAAGCAAATGTTTTCAGTGAATTTAATATGGGAGTTTTTCCAATAAAACACGCTGTTGGCATGTTACACTTTTAAAATTCTGTTTGGACCAAAGGTTAGATTAACTGGACTACATAAGATGTTTTTGTGCACATTAATCACAGGGCACATGGAAAAATGCACATTTAGGGGTCAGAGCCACTCAACGATAAAACCTGTGGGAGGCTACAGCATCAAGGCAAGCTAGAAAAGAAAGAGAGGGTGTGTGTGTGTGTGTGTGTGTGTGTGTGTGTGTGTGTGTGTGTGTGTGTGTGTGTGTGTGTGTGTGTGTGTGTGTGTGTGTGTGTGTGTGTGTGTGTGTGTGTGAGCAAACACGTGGGTGACCAGTGATAAAGGAGCTCTGCAAGGGTGTGATGTACTTTAAGATACTAAACGTGTTAGATAGAAGTGACCATGTGCCATAAGTGAGAGAAACTGGAGGAGAAAGTAGAAAGAGTGATATACTGGGAGGGGAAAGTGCAAAAAGAAAAAGGGAAAAGAAATAAGTTGGTGAATGTGTGATTTTTGGAGACAAAAAATAAGAGGAACCGTGAAGGAGGATAGTGTAAGTTTGTGAGTGGGATGAAGCGGTAACAGTAAAAACGGGTATAAAGGCCAAAAGAGGAGAAGAACAAAAAGAAGTGAACATGCCAGGGAAGGAGAGAGAGGAGCAGAGGAGTGGAGGAGCGAGGGCAATGAGCTGGATTGAATACCATCTGACAGGTCCAGCTGGGAGTTTGCCCACCCTGCAGCACCACAAAACCCCTCAATATGGAGGCCAATTACTGCTGCCCGTGTGACCGTGGCATGGCAGCATCAGAGATGCAATCCTCCTCCTCGCCTTTCCTTTCACTTTTTTTGTGGCCCACTCCCCTCCTCATTTCCTCACACTCTCACCCCCCTAAAATAAATAAAAAACACTCCCACCATCTGTGCAGAGTGACAACAACCTCTATACCCTACCATGCACAACACAAACTACACTAAACACACTGACACACACACATTCAGGGCAATATTTTTGGCTTTTATACTTGCATGGAGTTTGCAAGTGATTGAATATGTCTGTGACCACACAACCACAGTGGGATCCGACGCAGCCACGCTTCCTTTGAGTTTTCGTTTAATCAGTTCAACATGCAAAGACTTTCCAGCAATCGTACATGCATGGCACGCGTGGTTACGCTTGGAGAAATGCAGCGGAATGCGACTGTGTGCCAGCGTGATCTGGTGTCACGGAGCTGGGCGTGGTGCTCAGATGGCAGGGAGGTGATGGTGGGAGGGCGGCATGGTGGAGGTCACTCTCAAATTTAGCTCTGCAGACAAAATCATCCATAAGTGTTTCAACCGGTGGGAATAGGAAGACACACACACACACACACGCACACACACACACACGCACACACACACACACACACACACACACACACACACAAACACACACACACACACACACACACACACACACACACACACACACACACACACACACACACACACACACACACACACTGAGCTCTGCAGTGAATAACCTTACCCTGGTTGTTGTGCGTGAGAGTGTATGTTTCATCTGTTATTAGTTATAAAAATACTGTCGGTAAATCTGATGCACCTCTGCTTGCCTGTTCTCTCATGCGTTCTCACACCGATTAAGTCCCAGGAAATAATTTTATTACCAATACCAATCCCCAAATAATTAATCCGATAAATGTTTATCTAATCTAATAAATGGTAGTAAAACTGTCCAGATGGAGATTTGAGCACACCAGGTCTACAGCTTATGGCGTTTATGCTGTGCAGCATTTTTTTTTTATTAATTTTGCAAATCAGCTGATCTCTTTTCAAGCAGTCAACATAGGCTGATTATTCAATTAAATTAATTGCATGGTATTTCTATAATAAGCACTCATTTGAACAATTACCCCTGAATTAGGTGGAAACTAATTAGTTTTGTGCATTTCAGTCATGCTATAAGTTTTTTTTTTAAGTTTAAAGAAGAGAAATATAAAATGGAGCACAAATTCGATTTGGCATGGAAATCATTTCATTTCACACACGGATTTCTAATATTCTGTTAATGATAATTAGGTGCCAGGATTTATTGAGAGCATGCTGCTGTCCCACAGGTGTGTTTAAGGTATCAAAGCTCACACTCTGGAGCCAAGATGTATGAACGAACTCTCCTGTAAAATGAGCAAAAAAATAAATAAAAAGAGTAATAAATAAATAAATAAATGGAAACTCCGATTTTCCTCCCTCCTCTTCAGGGTCACGCGCGGACACTCAGCCTCCTTTAACGGTGCAGAATGATGAACAGATGCTGAGTGAATTAGGAAAGAAACACTGGGTCCCTCCCACAAGGGCCACTTTTGGCAGGGGCCGCCCGGCTGCCACGTGGCGCAGCTGGCACCGCGCAGGTCGGAGATGGTGAGGTTCGACTGGTCGCTGGCGCTACTGGTGCTCAGACATTTACCGGCTTGGCACTGCGCTCTATGCGCCATCACATCCAGTGCCAGACGCACGGCCCGCTCCATGGCGAGGAATTCATAAAATATCAACGCAAAATAAATGAGATCCGCTCAGCTTCTCTCTTCTCTTCACCAGCAGAATAAAACGGATATTGCATCTAAAATATATGAACGTTCAGCTTAATATGAATTACAGTCTACAAGTGTTCACGCGCACACGTGAGTTTGTTGGAAAATTTTAAAACAAAGTCAGCTTTATTTTATTCATTATCCTATACCGTGGGTTATAATTTTAATCATAGAAAATTGGGCATAAAACTAAAATAGAGCAATGCCTCAGATCATTAATTATTTAAAGCAGATGATTATTTAAGAAAATAAAATCGATAGAAATTAATAAATGCAGCTTATAAACAGGTGGAACTTTCAATTCTATTAATTTAATATTAATATTTTATTATTATTGCATCTCAGTGGACAACATCTGACTAACGGCGGTTTATTTTACAGAACATGTTTTTATGTTTTATTTTGTATTATTGATGAAGATGATGTCATCATCCGAGCGACGTGTTATTATTGGTTTGTTCAACATGATCTCTTCCTTTTTTAGTGATTAAACGTGTGTGTGCGCGCGCGCGCGTGTGTGTGTGTGTGCGCGCGCTCACTCATCCAAAGGCCTTTGGTTTCGAAAGTCCAAACATTGCTCTGATTCTGCACCAGTTCAGGTGAGTCTTTATGAACTAAGTCAAATTCAAATAAAAGGATGTTCTAAAGTTCATCTTTTATCGAGGCTCGTCTCACCTCGTCCCTGCCCGTGGCTCGGTGCCGGATGGGGTGGTGTTCCTCCTCGGTTCTGATTTCCCCTGGATGTCCGCAGCAACATATGGGACTCAGGGCTCTGGTCCAAAACACGCTCCCGCTATTAATATGAGAAATCAGCAATGATGGGATCTAATCCACCGACTCATCAGGTTAAAACAAAAACTCTAATAATGAGAATTATTTAATAAGGTCTGAAGAAGTATTTTTATCGAGTTGAGCAGAAATATTAATTATTATTATTATTACTATTTTTTAATTAATATTTTGTGGGACAAACTTTAAAATCAAACTAGAATCGGTGGTGATGTATCTGGATATTTTCTTAGAAAATGATTTAACTGCTGAGGACAAAAATTCATTTTAAAGAAGTTGTGTCTGTTTATCTGAGGTGAGTCCACCCCAGACCCACCAGTGGTCCATATTCACTGTTGCACCATGCATTTGTGGGCATGAATAATAAAAAACAACATGATGCAAAAACAGTTCGTGTTTTAGTTGTAATGCTTGAGGCTCCAACACGTTTTTGCACATTCTGCTGGACGTTTTCATCCGCATAACTCTGTGCGTTTTTTTTTTCTACAAATTATTTTAAAACGCAAAGTTCCGGGATTTTCTCTACTGCAAAAAAACAACACGACGGTAGTTTGTTGAAGAATTTCATCATCTGCGCAAGTTCTCAAGCAGTTTCTCATCAAAGCTTAAATAATGAAGCATCTCGAGTATTTCATGGCAGCGCGCCAAACAACAGGTCTGGAATCTGAAACTCGGGATGCGCAGGAGATTCTGATGCATGCATTTTAATTTGTGTGAGTTCTGATTTTATTTTCCTGTATGAAATCACCTCTCAGTCAGCGATGTGGAAACTTAAGCTGTTGCATCAGTTTTCAAAATAAGTATTTAAATAAAATGACGTGCATATTTCCATGAACAGCGGATTTCTTGCAGTTAATATTGATTAAATGCATTCCTTTAACCGCGTCCGTTGTTTTTATTATTAATGAAAGCACATTGTCACATTTATTTTCAAGGGGATTTCATTCATTCAGCAAATTTGGACTGCATTAAATTATCTTTCTCAGACGCTATTTTAAAGCTTTCGTTAAAATGTTCAGCTCAGAATAAGCGGTGAAGTGAATTAAATCACAATTTTATTGTTTGTTTCGGGATTATAAATGATTATATGAAACAACTGCAGGGATAACTGGGTGTATTTTCCATTGTGAAACCAAACGGATGACATTAAAGGCCAAGAAAGAAATGAAAAATATGCGCTTTTCTTACATAAAGAACGTGCGTGCTTTTAAACTTAATTGAGTAATTTTGACGCCCTTTCGTGTTATTCTGGTGTTAATGTGTGGAACCTTTGAAACAAAGGGAAGTATTGAGTAAATGGTCTCCAGGTGTTTAAAACAAACGTTGCTCCATCATGTCAGACACTTCTAAAACACTCTTTTGTCTTTATTTCCGTTGTTTGTGTCATAATATGTTTGGCTTTTACATCACTCATTCTGCATACAGAATAATACAGGTCACAGTTTGATACAACAGTATACAGAAGACATCAGAATACAGAGGGTCAGAATCTGTCATTTCCGTGTCTGCGCAGGAGCTCCTCTCGGGTTCAGAACATCAGAACAGTTGAAGGATTGTCCGTTTAGGGTCCATCTAAGCCTGCTTGGACAAGTTTCCCAGCTCAGTTGTGGAAAAACGCATTCAGTTCCTCATATGGCGGCGCCCTGTCGTGGTGCAAGTGGACGTCGTGGAAAGGTGGAATGTTTTCTGAGTGCGCGCCACCACTGCGCGCTCCCGAGGGTCCAAAGTGTAGGCTGTGGCCGGGTCTGGACGTGGTGAGTCCGGAGTAATGCATAGAGTAATGATAGTTCCTGTCATTGTCTGAGGACTCCTGCTGCTTCCCAGAGAGTCCTCCGTTCAGGCAGACGGGAGGGCTGTGCTGGCCCTCGTAGTCCGGACTGTTGTATTCTGGGGACGTGCCCCCCGGCAGGTACACGCCCTCATAGCCTGAGCTGTAGGAGTGGGCTCGCAGGTTCATGGCGCTGCTCCCGGACTGGTAATGCGGACTGGAGAGGCGGGAGCACCGGTATGAGTAAGGGTGGACTGAGAACGGAGAGCTGGGCATGTGGAACCGGGATCCGTCTGCGCACTGTTCAGTCAGGAAGTTCCTGGTGTTGAGCTGCAGGCATCCTGCCACTAGATTGGTGGTGGGCTGAGACAAGCCTTTACACAACATCTGCACATAGGTCACAACATCTGGACGCTTCCCGTTGCGTAAAATCTCTCCGAGGGCGAGGATATAATTCTTGGCCAGCCTCAGAGTCTCGATCTTGGACAGTTTTTGGGTTTTGGAGTAGCACGGCACCACTTTGCGCAGGTTGTCCAGCGCAGAGTTCAAGTCGTGCATGCGCGTGCGCTCCCGCGCGTTGGCTTTCATCCGCCGCACCTTGGAACGCTCCACCCGGGCCGCCGTCATCTTTCGTTTCTTCGGGCCGCGCTTCTTGGGCTTGTCTCCGTTTTCATCCACGCACTCCTCTTCCTCTGCCTCGTCGTCCTCATCATCATCTCCGGCCATTTCGGACTCAGCTCGGCTGCTCCCTTCCTGCGGCTCGTCCAGGTCGTCGTCTCCCAGGTGACACCGCTCGTGCTCATCCTTCACCTTGCAGCCATCGCTTTCGTCGTCCTCCACCCAGTCGGCAGCGAGCCTTTGGACGTCCGGCAGCACCTCGCTGAACAGACGGCTCAACATGATAGCGAGCAACCTGAAAGACAAACAGACAGACAGCTCTTCAGCTGGACGGTCGTGCGCCTCCGTGGCTTTTTGCGCACCAGTGGATGCGTCGCAGAGCCGCGATTTAATGAGCTCCTATAGAGACAAAACCTTCACGTGTCTTGAATAAAACAGACCACAAACACACTTTATTTTATTTTAAAAAAGACAATTACTGGATTAAATGTTTCTCGGCCAACCTCGAAAAGAGGGTTAAACATTAAGGGCGACACACCAATCACGAAATATTGAATGAATAAAAACATTTTTGTTACTAAATTATTAAAATCAGAAACAAACCCGGTTTTGACTGCAACAGCAAGATCAAGTTGGACAATGCTTCATTTATTGACAAAAAGATCCGTTTATTTTTTCTAAATACTCTTATGAACGGTTTCTGACAGCAACAGTTCTGGACATCCTTTGGCCTCCACGTCGCCTCAGAGCCTCGGCCATGCAGGCTGAGCTTATTCCCCAAGGACGCACGATGAGCCTCTGCTGCAATAAAACAGACACCAGCAGAGATTCCTGCACAACAGAACACGGAATCCAACCTTTTCCTTTTCCTCTCCTTTTTTCTTATTTCTTCTCTTTGGTCTGTTAACAACTTTTCAAATGTGAAAAGAGGTCATTAGGGACAGTTGTGATTAATCTATATTTTTTTGTCAATTTCTAAAGAAATTAAACAATTAAAAGCTTTCTAAAACTTACAAATCTGAACGAAAATATGTTGTCTTTAGGTATTCATCTAAATGTCATTCTTTAAAAATCTATTAAATCTAAAGCTTTATTTTATTTATCCAGAATCACGAGATTTTACGCCATTTAAATGTTACTAAACACGGCAAGGGCTACTTTTACGTTTGTTGATCGTGGTTTTTACTCACCATAGGTGTCCTGCAGTTACCGAATTATCTTAGAATAAAACCACATCCACATACGTCTCCCGATTCCGGCCTCAGCTGTGCGTCAGAAGTACAGAGACGTTTTTTTGTGTCTAATATTGTAAGCACAGTGTAATTAATGCCAACCGATACCTTGTCAATTAGCCAGTATATCTCTATGGAGAATTCAACCCCCACAGTGCTCTGACGCGCGTCGTGCAGAAACACGCACAAGGACACAATCGCAAATAAACTGTCCTTCTCATTGTCTCATTAATGCATCAATTTATTACTTAAGTGTTTATTTAAGTCCAATAAAGAACGGGCTGCGTAAACAGCAGCAAGCTGACAAAGGAGCTTATCTGATCATCTCAAGCAGAAAAGAGCAAACAGCGCAAAGAGAGAAAGAGAGGAATTCATCATTTTATTCCAAACGACGCAAAAATCTAAATCAGCTAGTTGGTGCTGTTCATTTCTCCGACGCAACGAGATAAAATCTTTGTGTGGAGCTTGGTCTGAGATGCGTACCTACCTCCGCGGTGGAGCTCAGTGGCGGGACAAGACAGGTTTGTTTACACCATCTCTCTCCGGGTGGGCAACACATCCACACGCCCTGCGCGGATGCGGACTTGGTTACGCTCACACCTCTCCTATTCTCTTCTCTGCTGCTGATGCTGCTGATGCTATCCCCAGCTCTAAGCGTGTGGAGGGAGCACCTCAGAGGCAGGACTGGGTGGGTTACATACCAGCTCTGATGCCAGGCCCATATGGCTGGCACGTCATTGGCAAGAGCCATCACATGAGAGCCGGTGATTGACATGCGGCCGCATTCACAGAGACTGGCTTCCCCCTGGGGGAGAAGGACTCGCCATCTGTCACCAAGCTGAAAGAGAAAATGGAATAAGGAGTGGATGGCACCAAAAATGCTTCTGTTAGCCTCCATCTTTGTAAAAAAAATGGGGTTAATCTTATACTGGGGGTTTAAAAAACAACAACCTCTACCAATAACAAAGACAGTAATCAACGTAGATTTCTTTATGATATTAAGATCTATATAAAATTATAAATTGGCAAAAAGGACACAAGTCCTGAAAGACAACTGATAAAAAATCAGTAATTAAAGCCTTGGTGTTTTTTAAAACATATTATATTGAAGAATTCAATGAGATTTAGCTGGTATATTATTCAGAGAAAAGATAAACAAATATTTATTATTATTATTATTATTATTATTGTTGTTGTTGTTGTTGTAAATCCTTCAGTGGTCAATATTCATATTTTTTCCCTTGCTTGGTGGCATACTTGCACATACCTAAAACGATGAGTATACGTCATACTCTGCCACCGACTGGTCATGGAGTGACAATACTATATGGTATGATTTATTATTTACTTGTCTAAAATATCAAAATCTAAATGCAGATAGTCTTGGATGGAAATGTAAAAGACTACAATATTTTTTTAAAAGGCAATTAAAATGTACCTTTTCAACAAAGAAAACGTTGCAGTGGAATGCTTTTAAAAAAGCAATTTGTTATTTGTACTTTATTTTTTTAAAACAATGATCTTATTATTTCTTGTAATATAAATGATCTGTTTGTAACAATACATTTTTAGAAGTCAGAGAATGTGTTGTTTACCTGAGAAGACCAAAAAACCTCTTTGCAATATAATTTTAATGCTTTAAATCCTGCATGAAACATGAAAACATGTCATTGGAAAACTCAAACATTAGTGTAACAACTAAACATGAAAGGGGAACATAATATTGTGCTAAACTGTTTGCTTCTGTTTGTGCTGCCATGTGGGCCTACTGCCTCTATAAACACTCCAAACATGAGAAACTCATCCATCCTTTTTCTGTCTGCTTGGTTTAAGGAATGATGTACCTACAACAAACCATTTCAAAAAGTCCACTTTTATAATGTCATAAACAGAGAAAGTAGAATAGAACCACCTCTCGTGTGCAAGAGAGTGCTGCTGGAGGAACCGCTTTACTATGAGCCCCTCCCATATCAAAGTTTCTCAGCTTATTGATCCTTAGCACCTATATGCCACCTGATCACGTGGGCCTACCATATTGGGTGGCAAAAGCATGTAAACAGTAAGCAACACGAGTACTAAACACAGGGAAAAGTAGAGCCTGAAATAGTTTTTTGTTCCGTTATCAGAAGTAGCGCACCTAAGCGACATGTTAATTAGCTTACAAACGCTAGCTTAAGTTCACTTTGTGGCTGTTCACTGATGTAAACAAGTTGCCGACTTAGCCAAAATTCACCCCACTCGATTTAGAACATTATGTTAAAAACACCTATCCCTGGGCTGCCACCTTACCGTGGGGAGGGGTTTGAGTGTCTCAATGATTCTAGGAGCTAAGTTGTCTGAGGCTTTCTGCCTCTGGTAGGGTCACCCATGGCAAACAGGCCCTAGGTGAGGGATCAGACAAAGAGCAGCCCTAAGACCTCTTATGATGAATTAAATAAATGGAAACCGTGTTCCCTTGCCCGGACGTGGGTCACCGGGGCCCCCCTCTGGAGCCAGGCCTGGAGGTGGGGCACGTTGGCGAGCGCCTGGTGGCCGGGCTTTCACCCATGGAGCCCGGCCGGGCACAGCCCGAAGAGGAAACGTGGGTCCCCCTTCCCATGGGCTCACCACTCGTGGGAGGGGCCAAAGGGGTCGGGTGCAATGTGTGACGAATGGTAGTCGAGGGCGGGGACCTTAGCGGTCTGATCCTCGGCTTAAGAAGCTGGCTCTTGGCACATGGAATGTCACCTCTCTGGTGGGGAAGGAGCCTGAGTTGGTGTGTGAGATTGAGGGGTTCTAACTAGATATAGTCAGACTCACCTCAACGCATGACTCTGGCTTTGGATCTAGTTTCCTTGAGAGGGGTTGGACTTTCTACCACTCTGGAGTTGCCCCCACTGAGAGGCGCCGAGCAGGGGTTGGCATACTAGTTGCCCCCCATCTTGGTGCTTGTATGTTGGGGTTAACCCCAGTGAATGAGAGGGTAGCCTCCCTCCGCCTACGTGTGGGGGGATGGGTTCTGACTGTGGTCTGTGCTTATGCACCAAACTACAGTTCAGACTACCCACCCTTTTTGGAGACCTTGGAGGGGGTGCTGGAAAGTGCTCCTTCTGCTGACTCCCTCGTTCTGCTGGGGGACGCTGGCAATGACAGTGAGACCTGGTGAGGTGTGGTTGGGAGGAAGCGCCCCCCCCCCCCCCCCCCCCCCCCCCCCCGATCTAAATTAGAGTGGTGTTTTGTTATTGGACTTCTGTGCCAGTCATGGATTGTCTATAAAGAACACCATGTTCAGACATATAGGTGTCCATATGTGCTTTTGGCACCAAGATACCTTAGGCTGCAGCTGGATGATTGACTTTGTTGTTGTTTCATCTGACCTGCAGCCGCATGTCTTGGACACTCGGGTGAAGAGAGGGGCGGAGTTGTCAACTGACCGCTACCTGGTGGTGAGTTGGCTCAGATGGTGGGGGAGGATGCCGGTCAGACCAGGCAGGCCCAAACGTATCGCGAGGGTCTGCTGGGAACGTCGGTGCCTGTCGTGGTGGCAACCCCCGAACCCACAGGTGGACACCAGCGGTTAGGGATGCTGTCAAGCTAAAGAAAGAGTCCTATCAGGTCTTTTTGGCCTGTGGGACTCCAGAGGCAGCTGACGAGTACCAGCAGTCGAAGCGGAACGAGGCTCGGGTGGTCGCCAAGGCAAAAACCCGGGCACGGGAGGAGTTCGGTGAGACCATGGAGCTAGACTTCCGTACAACCTCGAGGAGATTGGGGGGGGGGGGCGGGGGTGGGGGGGGGGGGGGGGGAAGCAGTGCGCTACCAACACTATCTATAGTGTGCTGCTGACCCCCACTCAGGATGTTGTGGATCAGTGGGCAGAATACTTCGAAGACCTCCTCAATCCAACCGACACGTCTTCCAGTGAGGAAGCAGAGTCTGGGGACTTTGGGTCTTCGCAGCCGAGTGTGAAGCAGCTGGGATGAGAGTAAGCTCTTCTAAATCTGAGACCACGGTCTTGATTCGGAAAAGGGTAGAATGCCTTCTCTGGGTCAGGGATGAGGTCCTGCCCGAAGTGGAGGAGTTTTAGTATCTTGCAGTCTTGTTCATGAGTGAGGGAAAACTGGAGCGTGAGGTCGATAGGCGGATTGGTGCTGCATCTGCAGTGATGCGGGCGTTGTACCGGTCTGTTGTGGTGAAGAGAGAGCTGAGTCAGAAGGTGAAGCTCTCTATTTACCGGTCGATCTACATTCCTGAAGAGAGAGTGGTGAAGAAGGTCATACAAAGCCAGCTTGAACAAGTGAGTTTTCAGCTGCTTTTAAAGGAGACCACTGAGTCCACTGATCTCAGACTCAGGGGGAGAGAGTTCCAGAGTCTGGGGGCCACAGCAGTAAATGATCTGTCACCTTTGGTCTTTAGATCACTGGACCTCAGGGACCTGCTGGGGGTGTAGGGACTAAGAAGATCACCAATGTAAGATGGTGCTTGTCCACGTAAGGCCCTATAAACTAGAACCAGGATCTTGAAATGAACCCTGAAGTTAACTGGCAGCCAATGAAGCTGGAGGAGAAGCGGGGTGATGTGGGTGTGTTTGGAGGACTTGGTCAGAAGCCGAGCACAGGCATTCTGAACCACCTGTAGACGGTTCAGGAAGGTTCTGCTCAGACACGTGAAAAGAGAGTTACAGTAGTCTAAGCGTGAGGAGATGAAGGTGTGGATAACTGTCTCAAGTTCAGAGCGGGACAGAATGGAACTCAGCTTTGCAATGATCCTGAGATGGAAGAAGGAAGAGCGAACAAGAGAACTGACATGAGAGTCCAGGGTGAGAGCTGGGTCAAAGGTCACGCCAAGATTCCTGATGAAAGGTTTGGTGTGAAAAGCAAACTGACCAAGAGAGTCTCTGACTTTGGGAACCAGCTTGTCTGGAGCACAGATGAATATCTCAGTCTTATCTTCATTCAGCTGTAGAAAACTCCCAGCGATCCAGGTTTTAATAGAGTCTAAGCAGGTGTGTAACAGCTGCAGCTTAGACATCTCATGGGGCTTAAAGGAGATGTACAGTTGGATGTCATCTGCATAAAGATGGTAGAAGATTCTTTTGAAGGAGCTCAGGATGTGCTGAAGAGGGAACAGATAGAGCAGGAAGAGCAGAGGCCCCAGCACAGAACCTTGTGGGACACCATGGGTAAGGGAGGTGGTGGAGGACATAAACTTGGAGACGGCCACAGAAAAGGAGCGCTAGTTCTGTAGTTGGAACACACCCTGCGCTCTGGGCCTCTCGCCTTAGGCTACTGTCCCCGCGACCCGACTCCGGATAAGCGGATAAAAATGGATGGATGGACGGATGTTAAAAACAGCGTTACAATTGACACCAAAGCTGATTTAAAAAAAAGTCTGGATCCTTATCAGTTTTTGTTGCTGGTGGTGTCGGTTCAGCTGCAGCTCTCACACCGACATGACACAAGATATCTCTAAACGGCGACATTAGTACTAAATAAAT